CTCAGGGAGCCACATCTGGCCCTTGCGCCTTAGGTTGCCTACCCCTGCTTTAGTTCTGGGTAGCCGCTATAGCAAGAATTAAGCTGGTTCCTTATTCCCAATTCGTTATTTGCCCCATACCAGGAAGCAAAATGTAATCATCCAGATGAATAAGAATATGAGGTATAAATGTCCTAGACCTCAAATCCAGTTTTTTAAAACCCATGTTGCATAGGCAATAAGGAATCAACTTCAGCTTCATTTTTTTTCTTGGCTGTCACATCCAAAGGCTGGCTGCTCTGAAGATTAATTGAGAACATCAGAGTATTTTAAAAAGTCTTTACTGTGCAGTTTCCACCCCAGGCACACCAACCCAGCCTTCAGTATGCTTTATAACAAAATCAGTAATGCTCTCAGAACAATAATCACCCCCCCCCCTTTTAAAGCCAAAGGATCTGAGCCTTTGGCATGAACACTTAATCCTAGGGCCCTTTACTTGTTTCTAACAATAGCACTCAGTGTGCAGAGCTATTAATCTGACCATTAATAAAGCAACGAAGAATAAGGACTAGCAGGGGCTTGTCTGGGCCACCTAAAGAGTTCAGATTTGTACCTAGAACTTCCCAGATCCCTGTTTACACTAGAGTTCTTATGGAGGTGAACCGTGTCTGGACCTGATCACTTGAAACAAACTGAGGACTTGGGACTCACAAGGTTCAGAATTCCTCCACAGACAAAGGCCATCTGCATAGAAAATCAGCACTCAGGAAGAAGAGGTTTGATAAACTCACATGATAAACTGATAGCTTGTGTGTACTGGTGGTACCTATATGAGAGATTTTCTGAAGATGCCAGCCACAGATGCTGGTAAAACGTCAGAAAGAAACTCTTCTAGAACATGGCCACACAGCCTGAAAAATCCACAAAAAACAATCCCAAGGTTACCTCACTTAGACTGCCACCGCACTACAGATTCCGGTCTGACACCATTTTAATTGCCATGGCTCAATGCTACGGAATTGTGGGAACTGTAGTTTGTTTGTGGCACCAGAGCTCTGCTTTGCTCTGCTCTTTAACTGCCAGGGCACAGCAGAAATAATCTGGTTTGACACCTCTTTAACTGCCACAGCTCAATGCTATGGAATTGTGAGAACTGTAATTTCTTTGTGGCAGCAGAGCTCTGCACTGCTCTTTAACTGCTAGGGCACAGCAGAGATTATCTGCTTTGACACCTCTTTAACTTACATGGCAGATAAAGTGGTGTCAAACTGATTTATTTCTGCAGTGCGGACGTAAGCATTAAGACCCGTCAAAGAGGAGGTACCCACTAGGTCTGGGTTTTCAACCTCAGTGTTTCTGGTTCTCCCTCTTAACCCTCTAGAGATCTGTATATATATTATGACAAAAGTCATTCATCAGGCTTCAGGGTTCTGGCCTAGCTACTCAAGTTCATGCAGCGGTTCATTGCACATCCGCAAATCTCAGCAAGTTTCAAGTTCAGTTCCCCAAAGCAGGGGTTTGATGGATGAGTCATTCCTCCTCCTTGGGCCCAGTTGGGGCTTTCTTTGCTTGGCATCCCAGTCAAAAGGTGCAACATTAATGGGACGGGAGGGGCATTGGCATTGGCCAAGGAAAGCACTCTGTCTCCAATGAGATGCAGCATCTGCTTTGGCCTGGATGGCCCCAGGCCATGCCAAGCATCTTTCATCAGGAGACAGAGGCCTCCTCACCAGATCAAGGGGGAGAGAAACTCACCTTTTCAATCAGGTAAAGGAAAACCCGCCTGGCTTTGCCATGGGTGGTTCTCTCTGTGTATGAGAACCTGTTTGTGTGTGCGTCTGAATCATAGAATCATCTTCGAATCAAGAGACCTCAAGGGCCATACAGTCCAACCCCATTCTGCCATGCAGGAACTCACAATCAAAGCACCCCTGACAGATGGCCATCCATGAAGACCTCCAAAGGAGGAGACTTCACCAAACTCCGAGGGAGTCTGTTCCACTGTCCAACAGCTCTTACTGAAACACTTCTTGAGAATGAAACCGAAAGAGTCAATTCTGGTGTGTAGATTTGCTGTAGAAATGCAGTAATGCAGTTTGACACCACTTTAACTGCCATGGCTACATCCTACCGAATCCTGGGATTTATAGTTTTGGGAGGCACCAACACTTTTTGGCAGAGAAGGCTAATGACCTTGTAAAACTGCTAATCCTAGGAGTCCGCAGGATGAAGCTACAACACTTCAAGTGGTGTCAAACTGCATTATGCTGCCTTTCTGCCCAATAGATCATTTGCTATTCATAGATTTTAACAAATTATATTTTTTAAACTGTGCTACGTTTAATTCTTTTTTTAAGGGG